GGAGGGCCGGTGTCCTGCAGAGTTTAGCTCCAACCCTAATTAAACACACCTGAACCAGCTAATCAAGCTCTTTACTAGGCATAGAAACTTCCAGTCAGGTCTGTTGAGGTAAGTTGGAGCTAAACTCTGCAGGACACCGGCCCTCCAGGACCGAGTTTGGACAGCCCTGCTCTAGTGTATTGCTAATAGTATATCAGCTGTCCAAATATGGCATGTAATACAATCTGTTTTGTTGTACTAGATCCTGGACTTGAACAGGTTATACTCCAACGAGGTTCATGCTATGGCCAGCACGTACGGTATTGAGGTGGCCCTCAGAGTCATTGAGAAGGAGATTAAAGATGTGTTTGCTGTCTATGGTAATAAAGCAGAACAGGATTGTTTGACACGCATAGCAGTGTGTGTTTCATTGGAGATCTGACTGGCTCCTCTGTTCACAGGTATTGAGGTGGACCCGCGCCATCTCTCTCTAGTGGCTGACTACATGTGTTTCGAGGGGGTGTACAAGCCTCTAAACAGATTTGGCATTCAATCCAACAGCTCCCCGCTGCAACAGATGACCTTTGAGACCAGTTACAAGTTTTTAAAGCAAGCCACGATGCTGGGTACAATAGTCTTTCCTAATTTAATGATGCATATTGTTGAGAATGATTAGTTGTGTAGTTACGTTGTTGTTCAGTAGTTAAATTATTCGTGCATGTCTCAATTGTTGCTTTCTTTTGTTAGGTTCTTATGACAGACTCAGTTCGCCCTCAGCTTGCTTGGTTGTAGGAAAAGTTGTGAAAGGAGGAACCGGCCTCTTCGATCTGAAACAGCCGTTATAGTAATGGACTGGGATTGGAGAATTCATTTGCTCACTGTTATGGACTGCAGAATGACAATGCAATATTTTTTTGTCTATAACATCAATAAATATTTTCTTTTGACTTCTTGTAATTTTTGTGATTGTTGTTATCATCATCATCATTATTATTATTCTGCCGTCACAATGCCGTAATGCCCACACACACATCTTGACTGTATACCAGTGGCTGAAAGTATATCACTAAATGTGTAAATAAAATAATCAACTAAACAATTATACATTCAACAGTTACATTCACAAAAAATAAAAAACATTTTGTGCTCAATATGAGCTTAAAATGCAAAATAATAAGCCTAATTAAGGATAGTAATGATCCATTTCCTAATGCACAAACATAAAATAACATTTGAAAAGTAATTACACAATATATTCACAGTTGAAAATAAAAGCATTAAATACGATTGGAACATGATCAAATTAAGTAATGTTAGTCTTATATGTTCATATTTGTTTGATTTTTATACCGTGACACAGCTAATCAGATTCCAAAATTAAAGTGCTTGTAATTAGATTATATTACATTTTAAAAACTAGTAATGAGACTACAGTTACTTTTTATTGATTGCATGTTTACAATAGCAATAAATTATTCATAATTTAATGATTCTCCCTAATTCTTCTTTTCATCTTTTAAATGTTCCTTTCTAAAATAGTCTACTGCTTTTATTTGAATTATCACTCAGTAGGTTATTTAACCATGTAGTATGTCGTTGGAAGGCTTTTTTTCTTTAAAACATATTGAAATGCACACATTCGCGTTATTCCTGGTTTACATTACTCAGCGCTTTGTCAAGATGTGAATCAAGGCGCTTATTATTATTATTATTATTATTATTATTATTGAGAAGATAGACCAGTAGAGGTTAATATCTTTTAAGGGCGTTAGGTGTGATTTTGACATTGGTGGGAACAGTTAGCTTTGTACATTCAGTTAAAGTGCAGCGTGCGCCTCCTGGACGTCCGGAAGACCGTCGGTTTCCGCTTCCGCTCTGCTCTGGAGGAGTCAGTATCCCGTCATGCACTGCGGTTTGAGCGGCACGGCACGTCAACGTGTTCTGACTCGGGACATGCTGCACCGTCATTGATTTAAAAAAAATCATCAACTCTGTCGATTTAAGGTTTATAAGTTGATTTTATTTCAGCTTTGTTTGAAAAGCGGGAGCGCGTCTGTTGGAGCGAGATGTCTTTGGTTTGTGCTAGTAAGCGAGTTGGTTTCTGTTAGCATGAGTGATTAGCAGTGTGCAGCGTTAGCCATTGTTGTGCTACATTAGCAGAAACTTTATGTATGAGAAACTACACTTTAATGACTATGCTCTCTTTGGTGGCTTTGCTGCATTTCATTAAACTAGACGCGAAGTAATGTAAAATGTGGAGCTGAAAGTACTGCATGCTTGTGTCTGATGCTAGAGCTGTCTCTTGATAACTTTATAGTTCGTGCAGCAAAACATACTCATAACATAAGGGAAAAGAAAAGTGAATGTTAAGTTTTGTGGAGTCTAGACTAACTGTTGAATGTTAATATTCGAGAATATCGTATTATAAGAAACATTTGATTGATAGTGGTGTACTTACAATGAAGTGTGTTATACTGAAGAGGAAGGAGACTTGATATTTGTTGATTTGATTGCATCTTATTTATTCAAATTGTTAAAAATATAAATCTTGTTCTCACTCCAGTTTCAAGCGAGGTGCCGGAGCACCCCTGTGTCTCTCCTGTTTCTAATCAAGTGTTTGAGAGGCGTCTGATAGAGAAATACATAGCGGAGAATGGAGCCGACCCCATCAGCGGACAGCCACTGTCCGAGGAGCAGCTCATTGATATCAAGGGTACAGAGGCAGAGATGACACTGATTTCATGAAAAGTTCAGATGCTCTATGGTCACTACAAAATGCATCTATTTCTTTACTTTCAGTGTCTCACCCCATTCGACCGAAGGCTCCCTCGGCCACAAGTATTCCTGCGATCCTCAAATCTCTGCAGGATGAGTGGGTGAGTTCTTTGACCTGACTGTGTGACGAATAAATGTGTGCTGTCTTTCTCCATCGAGTTTGTCTGTCCTCCAGGATGCCGTAATGCTGCACAGTTTTACTCTGAGGCAGCAGTTGCAGACCACTCGACAGGAGCTGTCTCACGCTCTCTACCAGCACGATGCGGCCTGCAGAGTCATCGCTCGTCTCACGAAAGAGGTCACTGCCGCCAGAGAGGGTAAGCGCGGCTTTCTGGATGTGCTGATGGTGCTGTGCCTTTACTGACGTGTTCATTATTCTGCTTGCAGCTTTGGCTACACTCAAACCTCAAGCCGGACTGATCGCTCCACAAGCTGCTCTTGCTTCTCAGCCTGCAGCTGTGGTCAGTAATTTCTCCAGACTATGGCCACGTTCACACAGCAGCAGAATACGGTTGTCAGTCCTGTATTTGAGTTCTTAATACGGTTACGTTCACACAAAAGCACGCCTTGAGAGTGCACACTTTCACTGCGTGATGTAGTGGTCAATGACATTTCCAAACAAAGCCGCAGCAGAAACGTTGTGCATCTGAATTTTCAAAATTTGTATCTGAATTTGTGTCTGAATCCAATCTGGCCAATCAAATCTAATGAGTCCAAATGATTCCCACCACTAGCATTTATGGTACAATGTATTTGAAAATATATATATATATATATATATATATATATATATATATTAGTATTTTTAAACTGTTTTGACGTCTTAGGGTGCTGGCGGTGAGGCCATGGAGGTCAGTGAGCAGGTCGGAATGACTCCAGAGATCATACAGAAGGTATGTTGAAACAAGTACCACATGGTTGAATGTTCAGCAGTGTGAGATCACATTTTCAAAGGTAATGAAACTCGTCATCTTCTTTTTTTTACAGCTCCAAGACAAGGCCACCGTCTTAACCACCGAGAGAAAGAAGGTGAGGATTTGAATGGCAGTGCTGCATTGTGCTTTTTTGTCACTGTGTGTCGCATTGCGTTCCTTCATAAATGTACTTAACCTTTTATATGGCTTTGTTTTTTAGAGAGGAAAGACCATGCCGGAGGACCTGGTCAGAGCAGAAGATCTCAGCAAGTACCGCCAAGTGGCGTCCCATGCTGTGAGTAGCCAATAAGAATTTTCCATTATTCACTCTAGGAATGTTTTTTTTATTTATTTATTTATTTTTATTTTACATAAGTTCCCATGATCAATTGTCGCTTAAATTAACAATCAGTTAATTGATTATTTGTTATCCATAACCTCTTAAACCTGAAGTGGGAGGCGCTGCTGAGTTATCATCATGTTACTTAACCAGTTGCGTAACCAACACAAAATAGGTGTCAATTTAAAGCTTAGAAACTTGGCTTTTCAGTGAATATAGAGAATGTGACCATCCCTTCGATTCACTTAACTATCGCTTTTTTTTATATATATAGTTTTTTTTTTTTTTTTCCAATTAATGCATATTAAATTGTTTTTTAATCCTTGCTTATAAAAATAATTGACCAAAACAGCAGCGTTTGATTAGTGCTTATAAAGAAATAAACTTTTTTTGAAATTAAAAAAAAAAAAAATTGACGTTTCAGTTCAGTCGGCAGCACGGAGCACACGTGAACTGATCGAAATAAACAACAATTAACATAAACAGTTAGTATCAAGTATGTTGAAAGACCGTATAACTCATAGGAATGAATCAAGTCTCATGTAATCGCTCAATTAATGTTTCAACAGCGGAAGGACGTCAGTAAAACAGCATGTGAACAGTGTCATTCACATTTACCACAGGAAAGCCACTCAATGTCCATAAACTCATTAATCAGCTAGAAAAATAACTCTAGAGAAGCATTTTCATGCTACACGTACTTTGACAACTTTAACCTGTTGTCTTCATTAACCAATATATGTTTGAATAAATCTGTCATGAAAACAAGTTTATTACAGCCACCATTTAAATGTTTATATTTCATCAACGTATTGGAGTGGAAACAAAATTATTAAAGTTGGAATAGTAACTGCATTATGTGCTCTTTTTTTTTTTGAGTGTTGATAATTAATAATTATTACCAGGTAATGCATATCTAGGTATGGGTAAATAAGGTTGTAAACTCATGCACTGGTATCTTACTGTGGTAATTGGGAGCAGGAGCGTCACGTGAGCAGCACTGATAAAGTGATGGTTTTGGCGCTGAGTCTTTTTTTGCTGCGCTGCTTACGCTCAATTGAAGTGACGGCACACTTTTGAATGTAACGTATTAAATTGTCAATGCAATGAAATAACTGTCCATAAAAAACGTGCATAACGTCTAAATTAACATATATAAATCAAATATAATTTCGTAAATTTCATAAACAATTATGAACAAAACGGCATCAAATAAAAAAAAAAGAGCCGAATCGCCAATCACACAGATTGCATTTGAAAACATATGAGACGCAGTGAAAAGGAATAAACCTCCACAAATTCGCGACGTGTTTTCTAAAAGTTTAAACTATTTTAACTTTGCATGGCTTTCTATACATCTCTTGTGTGAGACGCGAGTGCAGCAGTTTGGGTGAAAGTATGGCGTATTATAAAAATAAACAGCTCGAAGTAAGACTGAAACAACATGATCTGAGCTGTTTTTGTTGTTTACCATTTACATGCGAATCCCCATGTTGTTAACAAGCTTTCAAGACTTTAAAACTTTCAAGTTTATAACTGACCAACTTCTAAAATCAAATTTATAGTTGTCTTTGTAAAGAAATATGTAGCTTTGGAGCCGCTGCAGTGACGCTGTACAAACGCTTCCAGTGTGAATACTCTGGCGACTCTGCAGCTGTAGTGACGCTGTAGTTACGGTGACATGAAGCTCAAGCTGCGGTGTGAAACAGGCGTAGCGTAGCACTTTATTTTACTTCAAACATTTTATTTGTATTCATTCTATTGTGCTTTTTTACCACGTGTTTTATATGCAGTGAAGTCCAGGGTTTTGTAATGACTTGTCATCCACTTTTCCCACAGCAGCTGTATTTCAGATGCATTTTGTCCATAGAAATGCTTTTTCACTAGTCTATAGTAATGTGACCGGCAGATGTTTTCAGTGCAC